TACTTCTTCAACTGATATACTTTGCTTAATGTGTATTCAAATGTATCTTGCTTCATGCGAAAATAACCAAAATACTGTGACTCGTCCTCTTGTAAATCACTCCATATATGAGAAAATTCATCAAACGTTTGTCTTTTTGATAGAATTCCACTAATCCACTCTTTTCTCCTATTCTGTGCTCGTCACCTAGCCAGTAAAGGAGTATCTAACGCGTACAGATCACATAAATCTTCAGACAGCGCCATGACAGAATGTGAATGGCATCGGCCGAACACACAGCCAAAGGACGCGCAGTGAACGCACGAATTCAGACGAACAGATTCGCACAGATACGGCCGAATCCCAGTTCACAGGTTTCCGCTTCCAATGGACGACTAGCCTAAAGCTCCTCATTATGCAGTTTTCTCCAACTTCCTGTCACTTCATCCCTCTTTGGTTCAAATATTCTCCTCTGCACCCTGTTCTGAAACATCCTCAGTCTATGTTCTGCCCTTAATGTCAGAGACCAAGTTTCACACCCAAAGTCTTCTGTAACAAGATACATTTTTCCACAATTCAAACCTGTTCATTCACCAAGTTTCTATTCTGCTCATTTAGTTCTCTTTTCCTGCCTGGCATCTACTTCACACTTCTGCTTGCTGCAGCCTGTGAACTGCTATATCTTTGTGCACTTATTCAATCTTTTCTAACTCCGGAAAAACATAAATTATGAAAATATACAGTCAATGTATCATAAAGCGTTTCATATGAAAGTTAAGCTCACCAAATCATCTGCTGTAACAGGCCTGCCCTCAATATCTTCAGCCACAACAATCCTACTCAAACGCTCCTTCATGTCTTGCATACTTTTGGAAAGAGCAAGAATTGCCATGATTTCACTTGCCACAGACACCACAAATCCACTTTCTCTGGAGTAACCTTTCTCAGTTGGAGACTGGCCAATGGTTATTTTTCTTAGAAATCTATCATTTGTATCAACCACTGTTAACAAAATGAAGTACAAAATAACAACAAAAACCATATAATAAGGCCATCAGAACCTTTGCTAATTCCATTTAAAACAAAAGTATGTTGTGCTAGCAGCTCAGGTATGTGCTTCATGTGATTCTTACATTCAACTAAAATTCCTGTATATTGATAAAACTGTTGCAGTGTATTATTTATAACATGCCACTGCCCGGATATTCCACCCTCGTCTATCCTTGTCCAGCATTCACTGTCTGTCATAAGACTGCTGTCTCTGAGACTCCTGCTCATGTGCACCCTGCCGACCAAAATCACAGCACTGGCCAACAAAAAAAGTATACAGTGTATATATATATATAGGAAGTAGGTTAACCGTCACACAACAAACTGGCTTTTAATATTTTACAATTAGACCTATTATTTCTGCTACATGTTCTGGTACGCTTAGTCATTGAATTAACGAAATGGATCCATACTAGTGCAACGTGTCATATTATATAATAACAGAAAATGTGCCTAAAGTTGGTGTTACAATTAAGTATAAAATAGAAGACTGATCAGACTACATTGAACCAATGCACAGGTAGAAAACATGGAACATATATATGCCCAGACAAAAACTCATGCATCATATTTTATGATTATATAATGACAAAATTCATATTAGAAATATGCACACACAATAACAACCTATACATGCTAACTCTTTTTATGCTTTAAATGAGTATTTTAATTACAAAAGTACATAAATTTGAATGCTTAATGCCACATTTTAATATAGTTGGTAAGGGAGATGTGAGGGGTTGTATTGTGGTTACTTGTGACTTATGTCTGTTTAATCTTTTTACCTCGTATTGTTGTATGTGCTAGATATTTTAGGTGGGTGATCTTCGCGATGTGACTTGTGTGACTTTGTGTATGTGTTTGATGACTATTTCCACATCCTGGGCCTGTTCCTTGTATGGATGTTTACGGAAAGTGGAGGATGTGTATGCATGTATGCATATGACGAGTCCTGTATCAATGTATTTTGATTTATGGGTAAATTGTATTAATTTTAGGTTTTTATAGTAATGCACTTTTTATATTATGTTTAGTAATTACAATTGTAATAAGCTCTTGTTTTGTTTTTTTATATTGCCTATGTTAGTTAACTAGTGTGTGTGTGTGTGTGTGTGTTATTTTGGTTGTGTGACTTATGTAATTTATTACATGTATACATTTATAATCAAATGGACTATTTCCACATCCTAGGATTTTTGCCTGTATGGATATATGGAAAATAAAGGAAATGAATGAATGAATGAATACATCACTGAAACATGTCTCTCGGCTCCATGACCTGGCTTTACTGTGTAGAAAGCTTCTAACAACAAAGAGAGACAAATGACATAACATGCCCAATACTACACTGCAGCACTGGAACCTAGAATTAACTTGGCATACATATTCTTAACCTCTCATACTTAATAGTTTTAATAATTTGTTTAAAAAAAAATTAAGTATTTGTAATATTTTTGTGATATATCAACATACTTATATCACCTAATATATCTACATGGTATATATTTCATTTATTTTGTCTTTTATTTTATTTTTATCTTCTATTTTATACGTAACCAACTTTTAGGAAAATTTTCTGTTATTATATGACACGCTGCACTGGTAAGGATCCATATCAGTAATTCTATGACTAAACGTATTCCTACATTAATTGCCTGATGATGGTTTTGTAAGACTGAAATAAAAGGTCTAATTGTAAAATATTAAAAGCCAGTTTGTTGTGTGACGGTTAACCTAATTCCTAAGTAAAAAAAAAAAAAGTAAAGGTATCCTTGTAGCAGGCCGTGGGGGCCCATAGAGTTGTGAGATGTTGAGCTTCCCACATTCTTTTAGACAATTGGCTCATAGATGGCAGCAAGGTTGTCAGCCTTACGTGCCGGCCTCCCTTTACCCCCAAGAATATTCCAAGGATATTCCTTGTACTCATTTCTGTTAGAGGATGAGCCGATCCCAGGGCCATAGTGTGGCTGGAAGGATTAGGTCAATTGAAAAGAATCCAATGACCTCATCGGGACCCGCGACCTTCCAGCCTGTAGCATAGTGCCTCAGCCAACTACGCTACCACATGCCCCAATATATATATATATATATGTGTGTGTGTGTGTGTGTCTGAAACACATTGTTCAATGTTTGCTCCTCATCTAAAAATTGTCCTTCTGCTAGATGTGCAGAAGCTGCTAATGTCATATGCAGGGATGTTGACGTATTCGGAGCCAGGAAAGTTCTCCCCAAATGATTTTTAAATATAGTATAATTGTTAGTATTATTATTGGCATGTACAATAAACAACAATTACACTAAATTATTATTATCATCATCCTCTCTGAAAATCTATACTTTTCATTTCTCAATTAAATATTTATACGTTTCATTTCTCAGTTCTCAATAACACTTAGATTTATGTTAATGAAATTATTATTATTGCTATTATTATCATTTGTTTGTTTGTTTGTTTACTTGGCTGCATTATTGATTTATGTTAATGAAAGTATCATAAAAACATTCTGTGTCAGTGGGACTCCCCCTGTCAAATATAGTACATGTTCATTGCTTTATGTAGTCAGTCGGGGTCGAAACATGTAGCGCCAATAGAAACAAATGTTGATACAACAGTGTCTACTTTGTTTTAAATACAGAATATTGTTGTGTAGACTGCATACTTTTGTATACATTTTATGTACCTTGTCAGTTTGTACTGTTCAAATTAACTTCAGTTAAATTATCAATAATAAGTAGCAATTAAAAAATGTCAAATGTGGGAAAATACAGCATTTTCACAACTACATTCAAATTGATGATTATGAACTATGCAGAAAAGCATGGATATTGCATTTGTTTCTTTCACATAACTCTTCTTTTCTACAGCATTATGCAGCCATAATTTTCCTAACCTGAATATAAATTAGAATGATCAAGTTAAGGATGAGATGAGCGGGGCATGCAGCACAAATGGGGGAGAGGAGGCATGCATACAAGATATTGGTGGGAAAGCCAGAAGGAAGGAGACCATTGGGAAGACCGAAACGTAGGTGGTTGAACAATATTAAAATTGATCTTAGAGATAGGGTGGGATGGCATGGATTGGATTGATCTGGCTCAGGATAGGTACCAGTGGAGCTCTCTTGTGAACATGGTAATGAACCTTTGGGTTCCATAAAATGCTGAGAAGTTCTTGAGTAGTTGCACAATTGGCAGCTTCTCAAGGAGGGCTCAGCTCCATGAGCGAATCTGATGTGCAAAATTATTCTTCAAAAGGTAGTTATTCACATATCTTACACATCACAACTATCACTCAAAAATATTGGGTTAAAATTTACATAACTAATACTGGTTCGTATGAGTTATACGATCATTTTAAAAGTATGATAATTCTCATACGTATTCCCATTGGTTTCGCATACTCATGAAGCAAATAAGGAAATACACACAAACAGTATACTGCTGCTACAGTACTTAATATAAGGCCTATCAGGCAAATAAGAACACAAGAACATAACTCACTCAGAATGTCAAGGCTGAAAGGTTAACACTCCTGCCTCACATTCATGGGCTCCCAAGTTCAATTCTAAGTGCAGAAGCTAGCTACTCTGACTCTCATGATTTTCCTTATTCCTGACAAGAAAATGCCACTTTTTAACATGATTATCCTCATTCCCTCCTAGAAATTCTTGGATAGTACCTTAATATTGTCCACAACCACTTCTTTCCACATCATTCCCAACTGATCATCATGCCAATTGCTGTATGATCTATGTTCTTCAGAAAATGTCATTAAATAAAAACATGACTCACCACGCTTCCAGGTAATGGTGTTCACATCAATATTAAGTCTTGCAAAAGCTCTCTGTTCTTCTGGAGTAAGAGAATCAGGATCAGTCTTACTAATGCCAAGTTTTTCCAACCTCTTCAACTGCAATCAAAATCAGTGTCAAAATATTAGCAGCACACACCTGAAATCAATGATCTAAATCATAATGATGGTTCACTCATTCTCTGAAGAATGTAAAGAGGGCTTGACTTCAGGAGAATGGAGGTAAAAGAAAAATGTTTAGGCACTTACTTTGATCTGTGTTAAAAATTACACTATTCAGGACTTCTATTAGTACTGTTCTGTGTTATAAAATACTCTTCATTTTGACAGCTAACATTCTCACCTGAATTTTGGAGAAACTTCTCTCTCCTTCTTCATCAGGCACAAGTCTGTCATAAAGAGATTTATCGTTCTGAGTTTTTTCATGGAAAATTCTAGCATCAAGCTGAGCTGCCAAGAGATTGTTGGCTGCTGTTACAGCATGGATGTCCCCTGTCAAGTGAAGATTGAACTCCTCCATAGGAATTACCTGTGAATACCCTCCACCAGCAGCACCACCTTCAATATATAGCACAAAAGTTGTTAGTGCAGTTCATATTTTCTCAGCAGTATAGACAAAGAGGAATGGAATAAATGGGAGATGAAGATAAAAATACTAATAAAAAAAACAACGAAGGAAGATAATTCTACTGTCCTTAGTCTACAGATCAAAGCAAAAGGAAGTATTGGGAAAGTTAGAAGGGACTTTAGAAGGGGATGTTTTGACCAAGAGTGTGAACAAGTGACAGTGGAGAAGAATAGGAAATATCAGAGTATGCTTCAAAGGAAATTTACTAGAGCAGCAAGAGAAGAATACTGTGATGTGAGAAGGAGAGCAAAGAGTATCCATAAGAAGAAAATGAAGGGTTATTATGAAAAACAACTTAAATGGCTACAAGACTGTGATGCTAAAAACGATAGTAGGAAGTTCTACAAGCAAGTGAATAGAACGAGGGATGGCTTCCAGGCTAAACTATTGAGTTGCAGGAGTATAGGAAGTGACGTTCTCCCAGATAATGCTGATATCCTGAATAGATGGAAGTATTATTTTCAAAATCTGTATGATTTGACAGAGTATAAGCTGGAAATGTCCCCGCAGTGGACAGTACCATCTACTGATGAAACTGAAGAAATACCATTACCTACCTTAGAGGAGGTGAATTTTGCAGTTGGAAAATTAAAAAATAACAGAGTTTCAGGACCAGATGGACTGAATACCGAACTTTTAAAAGTAGGCGAAATGAATCTTATAAATAGACTATGGAAGTTGACTGAAAATATATGGAAAGAGGAAATACTTCCTAGTCAGTGGGGTTAATATGATCTATATACAAAAAAGAGATCAAATTTTGTGTGAAAATTGTTGTGGTATTTCTTTCCTGAACATGGCATATAAAGTATTCTCAGTTATACTATTTTGAAGACTACAACCCATTGCAGAGACAAGCATTTGAAATTATCAGTGTGGGTTTAGCCTGGAAAGTCTACTTCAGACCATTTGCATTCAGTCAATTACTGGAGAAGATGAAAGAATAATGAGACTAGCATTAAAAAATAAATAACATGCACTATGTGCCTGTAGATTTTAAAGCTGCATATGACAGCATTGATAGAGCCAGGCTCTTCAAGGTAATGGAGGAATTTCATGTCCCTAGAAAACTTAGATGTCTAGTGGAGCTTACTCTTAAAATTCTTAAAACTGTAATATGCAGAATTAAAACTTTTAATGGAATAACTGAATCCTTTGAGACTAAGAAAGGACCCAGACAAGGAGATGCCTTGCTTTGCCTTCTGTTTAATCTAGCCCTAGAGAAGATTATAAGAAAGACCAGTCTGGATATAAGAGGTACCATACTTCATAAATCTCTAGAGATATTAGAATATGCTGACGATGATGTTATTACTGGTAGATATGAAGGAACAGTCAAAGAAGCATATGTAAAGCTGAAGAAAGCAGCATTACAAATGGGGTTAACTATTAATCAAGAGAAAACTAAATTTATGGAAGTTATCAGGAATAAAACTTAAGAGAAGCATATTATAATAGACAACAAAAAGATATATGATATAAAAAAAAAGTAAGTGAATTTCAATATCTTGGGTCCATAGTCACCTGTGATAACAATACTGATGCAGAACTTAATCATAGAAAAACTATGGGAAATAAATGCCATTATGGAATGCATAATCTACTTAGATCAAAACTTCTAAGGTACTAAATGTAAAATATATAAAACCCTTACAAAGCCTGTTGTCCTTTATGGGACTGAGAACTGGAGACTCAGGACATTGCATGATGATAAAATGAATTTTTTTAAAGAAAAATTCTAAGGAAGATCTATGGCCAAAGCTGTGTAAATGGAGCATTGAGAATAAAATATAACAATAAATTATATAACTTATTCAAAGATCCAAATATAGTGCAGTCAATAAAAATATACAGACTGAAGTGGCTAGGACATATCAGAAGGATGGATGAAAGTTTGCTCTGCAGTAAATTAACCTTCTCCCTGCCATAAGGCAGTAGAAAGAAAGGAAGACGGCAATTAACGTGGCTAGACCTGCAAGACCTCAAAATTTTAAAAGTGACAGCTTGGTGGAAGAAGGCACAAGACAGGGATAGTTGGAAGGCTGTTATCAAGGAGGCCAATGCTCACAAAGGGCTGCAGTGCAAGAAGGAAGAGGAGGAGGATAAGTAGAAGAAGGAGAGGGAGGAAGAGGAGAAGAAGAATCTAAACATCAACATACACAGCCTTTGAGTAAATCATTTTGAAGCGCATTTTGGCAAACTGTTTTGTGTTTCAATTGAACTAATCCTTCCAGCCACACTATCACTCTGAGGTTGACTCAGCTTCTAACAGAAATGAGTTATCAGGAATCTTCTTGGGGGTAATGGGTGGTTGGCACATAAGGCTGACAACCTCACTGCCATCTGTGAGCCGACTGTATAGCAAATATGGGAGCTTCAACATCTCACACACCTATGGGCCTCCACAGCCTGTTACAGGGACAACTTTATCTCTCTTTTACATTACTAAATAAATTAATTTACTCACATAACATCACAAGAGTAGAATATACAAAAGCTTTATAACAGATGTTTTCATCTTGTACTAGAGTCACCAAAAGTATTTCAAACAAGGGAATGTTGAATTCTGGCAGTTAAAAGTATATTCTGGGTGATATATGAGACACCCTATCTACCCCATCTTATGACACTTCATATATGAGGGTTGGAACTTTAATAGTAGCAACTATTTATTTACAACTGATACAAAGTAGATGCATGTTTTGAAGTTTTACTGTCCTTCAATGTAGTCACCAGGATTGTGTACAACCCATTGCCAGCGATGTGGAAGTCGCAGGATACCTTTAGCAGTGCCTGTTGTGTTGATAGTTCGAATGGAGCGGTCTATTGCCTGAAGAATCTCTGGAACAGTTCTGAAGTGAATGCCATGAAGTGGTTCCTTCATCTTAGGAATCAAGTTGAAGTCACAAGGGCTTAAGTCTGGGGAGTATGGTGGATGGTACAGCACTTCCAAGCCCCATCAACTGAACAAATCAACCACAGTTTACGCTGCATGTGGCTGAGCACTGACCTGCAAAATGATGGGTGGGTTCTGAAGAAAGTGTCACCACTTCTTTCTCAAAGCTGGTTGCAGGTTGTGTTCCAAAAATGAACAGTAATACTGTGCAGTGACGGTCTGCTGTCAGGGAACAGTATGCGTTAGGATAACACAATCACAGTTGTACACGAGAATCACCATAACTTTCACATTGCTGGGGTTCTGACAAAATTTTGATTTTCGTGCTGGTTCCACCTTGCCACTGTTCTGTAAGGCAATGCAGATTCCCCGCAAGCCTCTTGAAGACCTTGACGACACTGTTGTGTTGTACAGCTTTTGGCACATTCAATCTTTATCCAACTCCGTTGTTTCTATTTTGAAAACATCGTGACAACAGTGCACTGGACGGCCAACTAACACGAGGCTCTGTTCTTCTCGGCACTGTGCATGCATGTGATGTGGGAATGGAGAGTCCATTTGCTCTGAGGTAAGGTAGGTATGTAACTAACGTGTGGTATAAGCGACATTATTTGGTTCCGTTGCATGGCGTCTCTACAGCAGCGTTGCCACTATTAAAGTTCCAATCCTCGTATATGACATCAAACTATCACACAGTTTCCAAAGCCCACATACAAAAATTATTCCAAAAGTGAATGTAAATGCTTACCTTTAATCCCAAATGTAGGACCCTGAGACGGTTGCCTCACACATGCAAAGGAATTCTTCTTCTTGTGTGCACTAAGAGCCTGTACAAGACCAAGAGTTGTTGTACTTTTGCCCTCCCCAAGTGGTGTGGGAGTGATTCTACACAGAGAACAAAATGTATTTAGGCAGAGACTTCAGGCGATATTGTTGTTATCCACACTCAAGAAATGCCTGGAAGATTGGTATGAACATCTTGGAAGCATGAAAGAGGAATGGATCTTGAAGACTACAATGAACTGCAGACCTCATGAGAGGAGAAGCTGAGACACCCACCAATGTGATGGAGCCAGCAGCTTTCTTAAGAGCCAACATGCCAAAGGCCTTAGCTGTGAAGATGATCTTTCCAATACAAACTGAAAGAACTACTATAAAGTATAAACAGGACCACAAAATAAAGGTTTATGAGAGTGAGATGGAAGTCATTCAGTGACAAGCATGACAATAAGGGTCTATGTTCCTAATTACAAAATGTGTTCCAGTCACTGATATTATAGAGTTCATGAATGATTAATAAAAATGTAAGCATGGAAAGGCAGAATGTCAGGAAATGAAAACAAAGTAATTATGAGAGTAACCTATCACCCCATTAGGCTGCGCCATAGCTCAAGCGGTTAGTCACTGGATTCCCATTGCGGCGCTGGGGCAGGTTTTCTCCAAGTACTTCGGTTTCCCCTGCCAATCTTCATTCCACCAATTGGTCCACAATCACCCTCACCTATCATCTGGGGCTGGTACAATAGGGCAGAAGTGGGCGCAGTACAAGGGACTTAGTTCCACCACACTAGCAATAGAAAAAAAATTAACCTATCACCCCATCATGAACAATTACAAAATTTGCATGCGCATTATGATACTGTCATTCCAAATTACTATGGACTTACCATTGTATTCATACACTGTACAGACATGGAAGGAAAGAAAAAAAAAAAACAGCCTGAAACACCATCTTCCAACCACTGGCCCACTGATCAGCACCAGTCCACTAGAGATCCACAAAACTCAAATAACTGTTACATACTTTAACACACGAAGTGAGTCTTCTAGACAGCACTTCTGTTAAGGAAACATACATCACAAAGAGAAAAGAATGTATTGCAATGTAATACAATGTAGTTTGGTACATGGTCACTGATGTTTCAAAGGAATATAATGCTTCCATTTTCAAGGCTGACGAGTAAGCCAAGAGGGAAGTTAGTAAGAAGTAGGCAGAAAGCAAAGTTTTGCAGTTACCACAGAAAATGGTGCAGTATAAGAAATGAGATGATTAAGCCTTACTGTCACAACTTTTTGACTGTTTTGGTATGCATCAGCATTAAGTTACAACCTTAATAATATTCTGAACATATAACAATCTATAATAAAGGAACGAAAAAATTGTTAATAGACATCAGAGTTCTTCATTACAGTGAAACCTTGTTTAAGGGTTCAATGGATTTGGACATTAACCTGAGGACAATATCAAATGGAGGAAATTTTACGCTAAAATTACTGACCCTGAATCACTGAAACTGAATGTTCAATGAGGAGAAATCTCAAACTAAAGAACATTAAATTGGGAACCTACTGTGTTTCTGAAGCAATTAGGTGGGCATACAGCTCATTATTTATGTGAGCATATTACTCTCCATATATACTGGAAGTGATAGAAACACATTACTAACAGCAAACTACTACAATAAATCAATTCATTCAAGTGTAAGAGGAATGGAGTGAACTAATTTTGCATGTTATGTAATGTGCTATGGGCTGGACAGCCAGGGTTTAATCATTTAAATCCATTAAGTGTTGAGGACTAGAATATAAGGAATTTTGCCTTCACCCCCACCCCCAATACACCTAGATGGTGTGGTGCCTAAGAAATGGAACATTACATTACCTCATAATTTCGTGGTTAGCGTTAAGTTAAAAATGGTTAGCAAAACTGTACACGAATTTGTATGCAGGACATCCTGACTGTTACACTTTTCTAATGCATATACTTCATAAGCTGGTGAGTGGGTATGGGAAAGATTATGTGCTGCTACAGCCTGCAACGAGGTATTTCAGGTATAAATGCCTCTGATGATGGCTCCGTGGTGAGCCGAAACATGTAAGGCAGGTGCTGACGAGGTGGAAAACTTAAAAAAGTGTCACATTTGACGGAAGGAACTTGATTGTTAATTGGTTAGTGTGACGGACCANGAAGATAATGTGCTGCTACAGCCTGCAACGAGGTATTTCAGTTATTCTTTTTCTGTTTAGGCCAATATGCAATGTTTAACGTTACTCACATGTCTGTGATTGTGCTGAACATTGTGTTGTGAATAATTTCACCTATTTACTATGGTTAACTGTCTGTGAACATGAAGTGCAGTGTTCTTGTTAATTTTTTTTGCCACTAGAAGTTGGGAATAATTAAGCAGTGTGTTTGATTATGCTTGTATTCAGCCACCCATCCAACTAGGCAGCATCAAAACCTACAACTGAATCAGAGATGATAAAGCTCCTGCTTGTGGTACATGTACATAAGCAGATGAAGCACCAGTTTCAAGGGTGAATTTCAACAAGAGTGGCCTATATCCTTATGAGACACTTGAGGAAGAACAAAAAATATGCCAAGTGGGAAATTTCAGTGCTGCAATTGATCACATCCCACAGTGGCATAAGAAGTGGGTTGAATATGATGGTAGCTGATTAGGGGACAAATTTAAGTGTGCTGTGAACATAATTTCTATTCTTTTGATGTGTCTACAGTCTGTAAAGATCATACATATATATAGTGTGACATGTTGACCCCTACCTCCCCAGCGGTGCGTGGCGGTGGCGTAACGCTCGCGTTCTTACGGTAATAGGCGAGTTCNACAATGAACCAGAAAAGTATGCATAACTGCAGCATGTATATAAATATTTAATATGGTAGTAATGTTCACTTTGCAATATGACAAACAACCAAGCACCCAACCCACCAACTACTAACTAATTGAAACTAAAACTATAAACTAAACTGAAACTAAAACTAAAACTAAACTAAACTAAACTGAACTGAACTAAACTAACTCCATGGAACAGAGACCTTGAGAAGTTAACAGTCATTCTGCCAGTCAGAAATTCACCTCATTTTATGTAACCCGTAGGTTCAGAGCCGAGTTCATAAGAGGCAACCATTGATCCTTATTTTGAGCCCAATGAATCCAGTCCATGACCGCCCATCTTATTTCTTCAAGAACATTTCAATATTATTCTCCCATCAATGCTTAGATCTTCCAAGCCAGTTCATTTCTTCATGCTTTCCTAACAAAGCTTTGCGTGCATTTTTCAACTCTCCCATGCACCATCCAACCCATCGTTATTGGTTTGATCACACTGACAGAATTTAGGAAAGAGTGATAATTATGAAGCGCTTCTAATTGCACAATTTTCTTACTCCCTTGTCACTTCCACTCTTTCAGGTCCAAATATTTTCTGCAACAATCTGTTCTCAAACACTCTTTAACTTATATTATTAATATGAGAGAACAAAGTTTTACACCCATACAAAGTTACAGAGCTGACTCATGACAGTTCATAAATAACATAATACATACCCTGCAACAACTACATATTTTCCAGACTTATGATATTTAAGTCGTCTCAGTACCGAGAGGTCAATCTTGGCTTTCTTGTGCCCATACTGAAACACTTCACTGGGATACAAGCCAATTTCTGCTGCCAGCTGACTTATATCCTTTGGCTCCTGTCCTCTGGCAATTTCAATATCTCTGTCATATGCAACAAACCAGAACAAATGGTTCAATTAATGATGCTGCAACCACTAGCTTAATTTCTTATGGGGAACAGATATCTCTTCCAGAATGAGGTTCATGAAATTTTACTGAGCCATGTCTAGTATACATATATGAGGCTGTCTCCATTGCCCATTTTCAGATTTGCTGTGAAAGATGAGTTACTACCTCTTGTTGTAATATTCTAACTTCTTAAGTGTTATACTGAAGACAGATCAGTGGTGTGTCCAGACTAAGTATGAAAGTCAATTATCATAAATTTGTTGGAGATCAGGATATACTGATTTCCATACCTGATCAAGTGAATGTACAGAATAACCGATGTAAAATGCGGATATGCGAACGACATAGTAGTTAGGATTTCATTCTTGCAAAAAGAGGTACCAACAAATCATATAGGAACTATAAAATGGAGTCTATAATTGTTGGAAATAGAAGAAGATAATTAGATAGGATGAAGGTCTTTAGTGTAACTGATCATTTATATGTATTATACCTAGGAACTGGTGATTCCAGTTGAAGTGGTAATATTCTCAAGTTCCAAGAAACACTTTTGAGCCTTGCAGCTGCCCTCTGAGCTGATTTCACAGTGTTCTTCATCAACATAGCCACAGTCATTGGACCCACACCTCCAGGCACTGGAGTGATGTATGATGCTATCTTCTTCGCCTCCTCAAAAGCAACATCTCCAACTAGCTTCTGACCAGATTTCTTAGTTTTATCTATAAAAATATATTCAATATTATTTAATTTTTCAGAATATACACTAACATTCAATGAAACTTCTACTTACCCTGGGGCAGGCCGCATACATAACTCAAGCGGTTAGTCACTGGCTTTCCACCACTGCGGCCCGGGTTCGATCCCGGGTCTGGTCAAGTGGGATTTGTGGTGGACAAAGTGGCGTTGGGGCAGGTTCTCTCCGAGTACTTCGACTTCCCCTGCCAATCTTCATTCCACCAACTGCTCAACAATTACCCTCACCTATCATCTGGGGCTGGTACAATAAGACAATAGTGACCACAGTACTAACAAATGGACTCAGTCTCATCTCACTAAGAACATCTGTACTACCAACAGAAAGTACGGTTCTACGAAACGTTACAGCTGTATTGTTAATATCAGTTCCAACAGTCCAGTTTGCATCCACTTAATGTAGACTGCTATGAGGGACATACAGTGTGCCGGAAGGGAGCACTTACTGGACCTCAAAGTCCACAAGCTGTGCTAAGTGTTAACAAAAAGTCATCATTCCTTACTGCCACTACGCAGTCGCCCCATGCATTCCGATCATGTCAACTCCGCGAATGGGCGCTAAGTACTTCTGTCTCTAGGTCGAACAAATTTTCTCTTCGAACATACGACTAGTACTGCCACGTAGCAGAATGCAATCTTTCTTTCAAGGCCACCGGACATGTAGAGCTCGATTACTGTGTGACGGCACAAAACTGCGAGAAGGAGGGGAAGTGAGGGGGAACTAGACAGGGGAGTGAGTAAGTCCATTACGAGTCACTCCAACGCAGAAGAAAACTTCTCTACACCTTCGGGGTAGTGCTACAAACAGAAAATCACTCAACTTGGTTGTCAGCAGAGACCTGAACTGTCTGTTCTTCATATTTACTTTAAGGGTATATGGACTCCTCCATTTCGCCCAGACTCAAAAACTGTCTTCGGCGCGTATACCATTACAGTATACACGTATGTAGTTGAGCTGTACCTAAATTTCCATTTCAGGTGAGTTTGGACATGAATGCTGCAGTATGCCGCACTGCACATCCAGTGACAAGCCACAACTGGGATAGACGTAATCTCATGGGTTCTATCTGCAGTCCCTCGAACACAGAACTTAATGCATCACACCATGTCCCATAATTTCGCCCGAAGCAGCACTGCAATCAAATCGTGACCGTGGAAGCATTTCCATCGCTGGATGTGAAATAATTATGATCGAATATTGGACTTCACTGCCGGTGACAAGATGTCCTCNACCAAGAGAGAGAGAGAGATGTTTTGAAAATTTACTGACCCAACTTCAATATGAAAAACCCACTGATAAATATAAGGTACGACAAAAAAATACACTCAGAGAGAATAAATTAAAGCTAAAACTGAATTAAGAGTTCATACCTGGTAACTCATTTATTCCGCAATCAATAACAACAGCACCCGGTTTTATCCAGTCACCTTTCACCATTTCAGGTCGGCCAATGGCTACTACCAAAATGTCTGCTTTGGCTGTCTGAAACATGAACATTTCTTCAGACCAATACTATTCAGTGCTTCTACAAAAGGTTGTGTTAAGCACTTCTGTTTCTTAAAAGTACAGCAATTACAGGCATAAAATTAAATTACAATATTCACACTTCTCTTATAATAAAAGTAAAAGAGCAGAATGTTTGGTTATCCAAGAGCAGGTTATCTGCTTTGTGGATTAACATTGTAGCTTTCTGCTTTCTTAATAGTACTTTTATTATGTCAATGTACTTAAATTGGGGCACATGGTAGCAAAGTTGGTTGAGGCACTATGCTACAAGCTGGAAGATCACAGTTTTGAGTGTCCATGAGGTCATTGGATTTTTTTCAATTGACCTAATCCTTCTAGCTGCACTATGGCCCTGGGGTTGACTCAGCCTCTAACAGAAATGAGTACCAAGAATATTCTTGGGGGTAAAGGGCAGCAGGCGCACAGGGCTGAAAACCTTGCCGCCATCTATGAACTGATTGTCTAGAAAATATAGGAACCTCAACATCTCACAACATTATGGGCAGGCGCACAGGGCTGAAAACCTTGCCACCATCTATGAACCGATTGTCTAGAAAATATAGGAACCTCAACATCTTACAACATTATGGGCTTCCACGGCCTGTTAAAGGGATACCTTTACTTTACTTTTCACTGTATTTAAACTGGAAAATAGTTTCAAATAGTTCAACATTTCATAGTTTACTGTACATCTCTACATTACCTACCAGGTTCTCTTTTACACTCAATTTTTCAGAAACAACCTGTCCCTCTCCAAACACATCCCAGCATCATTCAGCTCAGTGAGCAGTCTCCATTGTAAGCAAGGAGAGTGATTAGGAATTAATGAGCCATTTGGCTAAGAAAAGTAAAGTAAGAGTTCACTCACTCAGTCACGGAGCTGAGCCCTTCTTGAGAACCTACTAATTGTGCAGCTACTCAAGAACTTCCAAGCATTTTAATGGAAACCCAAAGGTTCATTACCATGTTCACAAGAGCTCTCCACCCGTCCTTGTCCTGAGTCAATCAATCCAATCCATACCATCCAATCCTATTTCTCTATGATTCATTTTAATACTGTCCACCCACTCATGCCTTGGTCTTCCCAGTGGTCTCTTTCCATGTGGCTTTCCCACCAATATCCTACATTCAGTCCTCTTCTCCCCTATTAGTGCTACATGCCCTGACCATCTCATCCTCTCTGACTTGATCATTCTAATTATACTCGGAAAAGAGTACAAGTTATGAAGCTTCTCATTATGCAGTTTTCTCCAACCTCCTGTCACTTCATCTCTCTTAAGTCCAAGTATTCTCCTCAGCACTCTTAACCTTTGCAGTCCAATTTATATACCACTACCATTCTCTGCTGGTCTGATTTAAATACCACTGAATTATTTATTTTCACCTACTGTTAAGAACTGGTCTGTTTTTCTTTATATTGCTAATTTACACACTCTGCAGTTCTCTATAGCACATACTAACTCTTCTCAGTCTGATGTGGCTTCACCAGTCCTTGCCTGGTGATGGATTCCAACAATGTCCTCTGCTACCATGCTCACGTACTTACTGGCTGTGACTGTTCCACAACCGTTGACTCTCGACTCGACTCAACTCAACTCAATTCCACTCCATTCAGACTGACTGCTAACAGCAGCTGGTCTATATTATATAGCCTTGGCATGGACCCCCAGAGAAAACACCTCTTCTATTGTTGCATTGTCTGCTGGGATGCTACTCAGCCACAGCCTAGCAATGGTCGCTACTGCTTACCTTGCAATCATTGCCTAACAATTGGTCTAGATGTCAAAGTATTAAAATGGTTTGTTAACACGACTGCAATGAGGAAGGCTTGAACAACATACATTGTTTGCCTCCCTCAGACTGACTCTACATCATCTATAATCTTCATGAAACATGTTGTGGACTGAGTCCAACATAGGACTGGTATGTGGAATTTAAAGTGGCAGGCTCAATTCAACATGTGACTGCAAAGTATTAACTGTAGAGAATCCTGCAGAATATTAAGAGACATATTCATAATAAAATGTGAGAAAAAAAAACAGTACTGCTCTGCAACGTTCCTAGACATCACACACGCGTTTGATAAAGTATGACACCCAAGCCTCTTCTTCAAAATCAGAAAAACCTTTCCCCATGCGTATTACAGAATATTAGAATCATACCTAATGGATACACACTTTTAAGTGAAATTCAAAAAGGAAACCACAACCTTATGGAAAAATGAAGCAGGTATACCTCAAGGAAGTGTCTTAGGACCCAGCCTATATCTTATCTACACAAGTGACCTCTGTGATGAGACAACACAACAACTGCTACCTTTGCCACTGGATAAACATGGGGATTCTTATGACAGAAGAAACACTAAAGATTTGATATTTAGCAATATTATCACATTATAATATNCAGCGACAGCCTCAATGAAACTTCAAACCATCACCAATAAGATCAATGACTGGGCAAAGAAATGGAGAATTAAAATAAATCAAACAAAATCCATGCATATTACATTCACCTTATGCAACCAAACCTGTCGGACAGTGCAAATAGGCAAAGTTGACCTACCACAGAAAAATGAAGTGAAATACCTGGGCATACATCTTGGTAGATACCTAAGGGAACAAAAAAAAAAAAAAATACACAAGTTATGCCACTGGGCATAACTCATTCATGAGCCAGTACTTACTGAATATATACATTTATTGCAGTCTGCAGATTATGTATAATTCATTCATCAGTAATCTGTCAGACGACAGGTCCACAGTCTCTTCCAAAACAGTTCGTCCACTTAATGCGATCTTCTGTTTTTGGAAAGAGACTATCCAGGAAAAGTGATAATGTGGTAGTTTTTCCATTTGCTTTCCACATCGCAGTACAACAGCCGTTCAAACCACTCTGGTCACGCCTGTTGCTATANTCACTGTAGTAAATTCTTAATGTGATGAATGGGCTTGAAGAAGTGATACCAGTTTCCCAATGTTTGGTCTAAAGTCACTACAATCATAAATAAGTGTACAATGAGCTTGGTGGGTCCCATCTCCAGCAACCCCCTAGGTAAATCCACTGCCCCCAGAGGATGGTACAGCCCACTTTGGGAACCACTGCCGTAAATCGTACAGGACCTGCAAATTCAGTGACCTCCCTTCCAAGGACTAATTTCATCCAGTAATCATGTGGCAATAAGCTTAAAACACAATATGGCTCCACAGAATACTTTTCAATATTAAGCTGCCCCACAGCTCAGGTGGCTAGTCATTGGCTTCCCACCATGTCAGCATGGGTCTGATACCATGCAAGATCATGTGGGATTTGTGGTGGACAAAGGGTATTGCAGCAGGTTATTTTGAAGTACTTTTAGATTGTGGTTTCAATTCTCATTTCACCAGATGGTCCACAATCATTAATCATCCTAACATACAATGCTATAAAATGTAAGGGGAATGAAGCTGCCCACTCACCTCTATCTAGTGCTGAGGTCAAGAAAGTTGGAGCTATACCTCCACCTCCCCCCCCCATGGCATAGTCCTTAAGAAATTAAGCAAAGGCCCAAATTTACCTTTACACATCAGTGTTTCCAATGTAACAGCTGGGCTAGATTTTTACAGCGAAGCAGGAATAGAAATAAAGTAGTGTTGTATTTTAGCATCCTGTTGCACTGATTCATATCCATAATGTGTATATATGTAACGTGTTTTAGTGCATACAATTTCACTTGTCATTTCACACTACATGTTTCAGCATCATTCTACCATCCTCAGGTGTATCAATCATGTTAAACCATTGCACTGCCTGCCATCAAGTGTCCATTTATAAAATGATATAAAATGTGTGTTCGTCGTTGATGAATAATAAAATTTATATATTAAAACTTGTTAAGATCTATCATCTTACAGGTTGTATATGACACTCGTGCATAACGCAATTCATCCGCCATGGGAGTCGTTCTTCTTATGTTTTAATTGTGTATATATTGTGTCTTATGATGTGTCTTTCTTATGTGGCTGCATGTGTTGTAGTGTAGTCACATGTAATGTGAAGTGACAAGCAGAATTGTATGCGCTAAAAGACGGTAAATATATACACATTAGGGATACAAAATAAAGTAAGGTATATAATAAACAGCACACTTTACCTCTTTATAAGCTCCATGACCCCATTTGGTGTGCATGGTAGGAACCCAGACAGATCCCCAACAGCAAGTCTTCCTTCATTAATTGTATTCAGTCTGTAAGTAAGATGTTACAACAAACAAACTTAGAGGTTTCACAGTGGTGAAGGTTCTTATCATGGTTTCTGGGATTATGGCAATATGCTACAGTGTGACAGGTGGATACCAATGTTTCAGAAGAACATACTGCCTCCATCTTCAGTGTAAAAGTAAGTCAAGCTGGGATCTGTAACAAATGTGGCAGTATATTCCTCACAAAATGAATGTTATAATTTTAAGACGATATAAAAATTATAGATGACCAAGACAAAATTTGATCTATGAATAAAGAAAGAAAATAAAAGTTCCTGGATGATACATGAATCAGACAAACGTTTTGACAGAAAAGATAAAACTGTTATTTAATGATAAAGAGAGTTAGTGATGGGACGTCATACATAATACCAAGAGGCTGCTGGTGTGATATCATCATTCTGAATGTTCAAGCCCCAACAGAAGATAAAACTGATGATACTTGTATAAAGGACAGGTTCTATGAAGACCTAGAACATGTATTTAATAAATTCCCAAAGTACCATATGAAAATTCTGCTAGGAGATTTCAATGCCAAAGAAGGCAGGGAAGACATTTTGAAACCAACAATTAGGAATGAGAGTTTGCATGAAATTAGTAATGATAATGGAATCAGAGTAGTAAACTTTGTCATATCAAAAAGTCTTACTGTCAAAAGTCCAATGTTCCCACATTGTAACATTCATAAATTCATTTGGACGTCTCCTTATGGGAAGATGCACAATCAATTGACTATATTTTGACAGATAGGAGATGGCATTCAAGTATACTTGATGTCTGATCATTCAGACAGCAGATTGTGATACTCACCACTACTTGGTGGTGGCAAAGGTTAGGGAGCACACAAACAACGCACAAAGTTCATACGGAGAGGTTCAATCTCAAGAAATTAAACGAGGTAGAGGATAAAGAACAGTATCATGTCAAAATCTCAAATAGGTTCATGGCTTTGGAAAACCTACATACTGAAGTGGATGCTAATAAATCTAGGCGAACTATTAGAGAGAATATAAAAATTTCTGCCAAGGAGAGTCTACGTTATTATGAACTAAAGAAGCATAACCCATGGTTTGATGAAGGATGCTCAAAATTATTAGACCAAAGAAAACAAGCAAAATTGCAGTGGTCACACGATACAAGCAAAACAAATAGGGATAATCTGAACAATACAAGACATGAAACCAGCTGGTATTTCAGGAATAAAAAGAGGGAATATCTGAAAGACAAAATTGATGAGCTTGCAATGTACAGTAAGAATAAGAACATGAGAGACCTGTATAGAGGAATAAATGACTTCAAGAGGGGCTGCCAACCTAGAAGTAACTTAGTGAAGGATGAGAATGGTGATTGGCTTGCAGATTCCCACAACATTTTCAATAGGTGGAAGAACTACTTCTCTATTATTGAATGTACATAGGGTCAGTGATGTTAGGCAGACAGAAATCCATACAGCTGAGCTGTTAATACCTGATCCTAGTCTTTTTGAGGTTGGAACTGCTATTGCAAAATTGAAAAGATATAAATCACCAGGTAGTGATCAAATTCTGGCGGAACTTATTCAAGCAGGAGGAGAAATATTATGTTCTAAGATCCATAAGCTATTTACTTCTATTTGGCATAAGGAAAAATTGCCTGATCAGTGGAAGGAGTCTATTATTGTACCAGTTCACAAGAAGGGTGATAAAACTGACTGCAATAATTATTGGGGATATCACTGATATCAACTGCACACATAATTTTGTCCAATATTCTTCTTTCAAGGCTAAGTCCATTTTTATGGGATCATCAATGCGGGTTTCAATGTAACAGATCAATTACTGATCATATCTTTTGCATTCATCAGATACTGGAGAAAAAATGGGAGTACAATGAGACAGTACATCAGCTATTCATAGACTTCAAGAAAGCCTATGATTAAGTTGGGATGGAAGTATTGTAGAATATTCTGATAGATTTTGGGGTACCCATGAAACTAATCAGGCTGATTAAAATGTGCTTAAACAAAACTTATAGTAAAGTCCGTATTGGTAAACATTTGTCTGATAATTTTCCTACTGAGAATGGTCTAAAACAAAGAGATGTTTTACTGCCATTGCTTTTCAACTTTTCTTTAGAATATGCTATTAGGAAGGTGCAGGAAAATCATGTGGAACTGAAATAAAATGGGACACATCACCTGTTGGTCTATGCCGATGATGTGAATCTACTAGGTGATAATATAGATACCATAAAGAAAAACACACAAACTTTAATTTATGCAAGTAAGGAGGTTGGTCTAGAAGTAAACACACAGAAAACTAAGTATATGTTGCTGTCTCATCACCAAAATGCAGGGCAAAATCATGACATAATGATTGGTAACAGATGTTTGGAAATGTGGCATAGTTCAGATATTTGGGAATGATGATAACAAGTCAAAACCTGATTCAGGAGGAAATTAAGAGGAGATTGAACTTGGGTAATGCTTGCTACCATTCAGTCCAGAACCTTTTGTCTTCTCGTCTGCTGCCCAGAAACATAAAAATTAGAATATATAAAACTATAATTTTGCCTGTGGTTCTGTATGGGTGTGAAACTTGGTCTCTGACATTAAGGGAGGAACATAGACTGAGGGTGTTTGAGAACAGGGTGTTGAGGAGAATTGAACCAAAGAGAAATGAGGTGACAGGAGGTTGGATAAAACTGCATAATGAGGAGCTTCATAACTTGTACTATTCTCCAAGTATAATTAGAATGAACAAGTCAAGGAGGATGTGGTGGGCAGGACATGCAGGACAGGAATGCCTGTAGGATATTGGTGGGAAACCCAGATGGAAAGAGACCACTGGGAAGACCAAGGCATAGGTGGGTGGACAATATTAAAATAGATCTTAGAGAGATAGGATGGGATGGGATGGTATGGATTGTATTGATGTGTCCCAGGATAAGGATGGGTGGAGGGCTCTTGTGAACATGGTAATGAACCTTTGGGTTCCATAAAATGCTGGGAAGCTCTTGACTAGCTGCACATTTGGTGGCTTCTCGAGAAGGGCTCAGCTGCATGAGTGAGTGAATGATAAAGATATTTATGTTTAACGTCAAAGATATGAAAGGTCAACTGAATCTTATAACCCATGTCACCAAATGTTATCTCTATTTTTTAACACTTAACAACCTAAAAGATCAACAAAACCTCTCAGTGTACGTCACCAGGATTTATCATCATGTTCTTACAACTAGCAGCTTACAGTAATACCCAGATTTAATCTAGCATATCAAAATTATGTCCACAGCTCTGACTGAAGAGCACGGTCCCAATAACATGTAAAATAAGTTCGGAAAAAATTTACTGTAGGGTCTATTTCACACATATGTGCAAAACTCTATGCCATTTAATGCTTAATTACTACAATGTGCAGTCATTGTCAGAGCTACAAAAGTTTGGATAAGAGTCTCAATACTAAACAAAAGATGCTAGTTTTATTCAGTGAATTTACAAAGAAAGAAAAACTATATGATAGAGTAATGATACAGAGTAACAGTTTTCAATCTTCTAGTGATACTTCATGGTCTTATTAAGGAAACCCATGATGGTGATAAAGGATAGAGCTGAAGACTGGAGCTCACTGATACAGAGAGGATGCAATAAAATAAATCTTAATTAACAATGGAATATATCAGAATGTAGAATTGTATGATTCAGCTGTACTGTAAAATGAATGTTCATATTAATATTGTCATGTGTTAATGACTACACATGGGGCTTGGATTGATAATTAGATTTACTGAACAATTAGAATTCGTAACTACAAACAACTGTATCACTCCCATTAATTTGCACCCTCGATAAATCACTACAACACAAGCTAAGTCTCAGTCTGTTATGTCTTCACTAGGTGTCACTAGATTACAGCTGCTGACCATGGAGGTTCTTCACTGACAACCAGTCACTGCCACTGCTCTTACAGCTCACAATATGCATTCACCAACTGCTGAATTGAGACAGACTAAAAGTCAAAGTTATGTTACAACTGACAGAGAGCCAGACAGTCTGTCTTGCTGTCAAGCATCCATCTGGGGTCCAAAATTAGATTCTTATTACTGTCAGACAGTTGTGGGTTTGTTGATGTGGGGTGCCCTCTCTGATGAGATGACTGGTCTGTTGTTTAAAACTGCTACTGGTCCTCACCAGTTGAGTCATATTTACTGCCTATGAATTCCAGCAGCCATTTTGCTTCATGAGTTGTAATACAATATTCGTGATGGCTACGATTCTGTCTTCTTCTGACATGGCCCCACTGAGCTCTGTCATGATCTGATGAAGTATCGTTGCAACTACTTTGAACATGTCGTTCACAGATGAACTGTTTGCATTAGGAGCCTGAAGTGACTGACTTGGTACTTGTTGGTTGTGACTGGGGGGAGCACTCATTTTTTCCACTGTGACAGGGCAGGCCTGTGCAACTGAGGGTGGCTGAGGATGCTGCTGCGTGTTGCTACGCAGCACCGCTGTAGAGGACAGTCCTGGGGTGGTGTGGCTGGAACACGGTAACCTTCCCATGGTAGTCTTGGGCGCTCTCTACGACCTTATTTCTCACATCTCTTCCTTGGCATGCCTGCTGTCTTGATAGTCAGAGGGGCAATGTTTCTCTCCATTAACCAACTTTCAGCTGCATCACATCAGTATCAATGCTGTATTGCCTTTCTCCAGGCACTCCTTGTGCAAGTGACTGCCCCCACACCGCATACACTGAGGAGGTTGCTTGCAGTTAGCCCAGACATGGACGAATTGCTGGTAATCATAACATTGCACGAGATCAGTCTGGCCTTCATACAGCTCTACCCTGATTGCAATATGGTAAAGGTCCATCAGTTTGAATATCTCATGGAACTCTGACATCCTACATAAGATTATTAGGAACAGTGGATTGTTTACTGTGGTTGTTCCTTCTGCAGGTTGCTGGTGCTTGGTGGTGTTGTTGATGCTGTCTCCATGGTCAGCCTCAATTTCAATTGACCTCAATGAGCCAAAGAAGTTTTGGGTAGGAACTTCAGGCTTTGATTAAACTTGGGGGTTGCTGGCTCCTGTGGTGGATACTGTACACTTCTTGGCTATTTTGTTGGCATGGCCTGTTGGTTTCCACTTTCATCTTCTTTGTGCATGGAATTCCTCAGTGGATGGAGGTGTAGCAATTGTGGTCTTGGCTGTTTCCTTTTTGATGGCACTCCCTTTGAGGACTGCTGTCAAGTCGTGTAGTGCCTCTGTGTACACTCCATATAGGGCGGTGTACAGCTGTTTTCCTTTCATAAGCTGGTGGAGATTCCTCTTGTGTCCACCACGTTTTGGACATTTAGAGTCCATTTCAGACTTTGGCCAACTGACAGAGGGGTACATCCCACTAGGCAGGCAACGACAGTGAGTACCTCATGAACACATTCAATGATAGCATTGGTATCGGAATGTTGTATGGTGTTTTTGTATTACAACCTCCTCATTGGTTTGCAAGTTCATGTAGCCACCAGGCAGTACATGAAGATTTGCATATCTATGGTTCTTCACTAATAAGAATCTTCGAGAAGAATCTCAGACACTCTCATGTCACATGACATGAGAGAGCTACATTTTTACACAAGGTCAACTATCTATGCACAGTGGGTTCATAAAGTTATGGCAAATTTTTCATGTTTTGCTATTTCATAAGAATTAGTAATAAAATCATGTTATGGAATCTGTTGTCACCTTTGTATGAACTGTCTTCAGGGTGTGGATGTGAGAGACACTTTATGTAAATGGGAGGTAGCCACAAATGTGCTGCAGAAGCATTCACAGACAGTCAACAAGGTGATGAATTGAAGGGGGGGCAGGGGCTAACAACTGATCACAGTGAAACACTACCACATTACAAAATGTTACACACAACCCTTGTGAACACAGTAATAACCTTTGTGTTTCATAAAAAACATGAAATTTCTTGACCAGCTGACCAGCTAGTAGCTCCTTCATGGAGACAGTTAACGTAAATGAAATATTACATTGGGGGAGTCCTTGTTATCATGCAGTTCAGAATATTTTGATTAAAGGAAGACCACATATAGAGAGTTTCTGGGAAAAGGGTGCTGAGAAAAATTTTGACCTAAGACAAAGGAAATACAGAAGGGCGGAGAAAACTGCATAAAGGGAGGCTTTATAATTTTTGCTCACTACTGCATATTATTAGGACAATCAGATCAAAGGCAATGAAATAATTGAGAGGCCATTTAGAACATATGAAGAAAATGCAAAATTAATACACAATTTTAGCCAGCGAACGTGAAGGCACCAGCTCAAGAAGGACTCTGCTCCATGGAGCGAGTTAGTTATGCAAACTGGACATTCAATTATCCTTTATTTACCCCTTTAAATAAACAGATTTTCAATGCTTAAGAATATGCAGTTATGTCAGAAAGGGGTAAAAAATTGTTATACAATAACACCTGTCTTAAACGGAATCTCAAGGGTCCAAAAACCCAGTAATTCTGAGTATTATATACCACTGTCAGAACCATTTACAATCTAGTTTTTACGTGTTAGCACCAACAAATCTGCCATTATGACAATTCACAACAGCATAATTTCAGGCTGATTTTCACTTCGGGACGAGTAGCCATACAACTAAATAGATGCTTCTGCTGACATAATTTAAAATCATGGAAAATGGTCACAGAATTCATTTTACAAATAAAATAATACTTATGAGTGGCTGTAGAAAACATATCATAATACTAACCAACTCAATCAAAAAAATAAATATTCAAGTTTATTACATCCTGATAATACAACTGTATTATTTTAAAGTTATGGGTGCCCTTCACTTTATATTAGCAAGCTCAGCGTAGTTTAGTGACTGCTAACTACTTAAGCAAAGTGGCAACATGCATCATCATCCTCTCCAATTTAAGGGTTACGATGGGAGTAATGTCACATCATGTGAAATGTAATTTAATTAAGCTGAATCACATATTACTGTTCATTAATAATATGTCCAGTCTTCATGTTAAAAAAGAAATACAACCAATTTTGATAAATATGACAATCTGGTATAAAACTGGTGTTCTCCAACTAACATTTTAATATATAAGAAGGTGTCAACAAATACAGCGGAGAACTAGAAGCAACCTCATAATGTCTGGTACAGGTTGAAAAATGTCATTTTAGGTCACATGCTTAAATTAAAACCAAATCTTACAACAGTAACTTGAGACCCAAGATTTAGTACTTCCGTTTATAACAACTGATCTTCAAAGTACCTAACAGAAAATTATAAACATAATATTCAGTACTGTTCATAAGATATCTTACTGAAATCCAAAACACAATACTGTAAGAGATATGTTATAAATGTTAAACCAAGAATGAATGATATCTGTAAAGATATTAAACATTTTCATTGACTTAATTACAAGAACACATCTCAGGTGGCAGCAGACTTACCCATCTACATCTTTTTCTGGAGATACAGCATCAGTAATGATGTGGGAGTCTATAGGACAGTCTGCATCCAGTGGCATCTGTACAATTATCCCATGGATATTTGGATCACCATTCAGTTTATTCAGTTTCATCAGAAGCTAAAATATAAAATACATCTCAGTGATAAGAAAATTATATATTCTGTCTGCTATCTAAGATGTGGTATCGGAAAGACTGCAGTACTCAATAGCATTAAGGAAAATGACTTCCATGGTGTTTCTGAAGCATGGAAAAAATGATGGGAATGCTGTATACATTCCCAAGGAGACTATTTTGAAGGAGATGGCAACCAAAATTGAGTAAGTTAAGCCAGTATTTTATTTTTGACCTAGTCCGGGAACTTTCTGAAACACCTCATATAGGAAAAACTAATATGGTAAAAATGTAACACTTGGATGGCAAAGAATTGAGACAATTTTCACCACAGCCAAGAGACAACAATTATGTTGATAAAATTTCTCATAAATGTTTCCTACCTCTGAGTGTGATAGTTTGTTGTGTGAATGAAATATACAGTGATAAATTCTTCTGTTCTTGCTCTGGTGTTCCCCTTTTCCCAGCATTCTGTTTCTATATTGTATATTACCTTAAATGCTCCTTAATTGGTATCACGATAATGTCAACAATGAAATGAATTTAAACTTACTATATAGTTTCTGTTCACATACTTGAACTGTATATGAATATAAAAATTTACTGAACAGGAGTTACACAGAAAGAACATTTTCAAACCCCTTTCTTAAAACTTGCAATGCCTGCACTGTAGCACATAGCCAAAGCCATGCTTCAACTTTCTGTAACAATATTTTCTTATTCATTCTCAAGTGATATCCAAACAAGTCTGCATAACATACTGATATTTGCATGCCAAACTGTGTCATACACTCTGTATAAAATAGGAGACTGTTTGTTACCTCTGCTTCAGTGATTGTCCTTGGTAATTTTACATGAGTGGCTTCTATTCCAATCTGACTAGCAGCTTTTACTTTCATGCGGATGTAAACATTAGAGTCTTCTCGAGCACCAACTTGTACAATGGCCAAACCAGGCTTGAAACCAGGCAATTCTTCACATAGTTTTGTTACCTCAGAGGTTAGAGCATTGCGTATTTCACTGTAAAACAAATTTATCAACTATCGAGCAACTGATATCCCACATAACAACATCCACAAAATATCACATCCTTCGATTCATAAGTAAAAATAATGAAAATGCCAGAAGACATGAAATGGACACATATTTTAATACTTGTATCATTTGAAGAGGGAATAAAGTAAAATATTGGGCTGTTATTATCATCTGATTCATATAATTTCTGTAGCTCACATATGGAAATTAAATGGGACACATCAGTTGTTGGCCTATGCTGATGATGTGAATCTACTGGGTGATAATGTAGACACCATAAAGAAAAACACACAAACTTTAATTGATGCAAGTAAAGAGGTTGGTCTAGAAGTAAACACAGAGAAAACTAAGTATATGTTGCTGTCTCNAATTAGAGTATATAAAACTATAATTTTGCCTGTGGTTCTGTATGGGTGTGAAACTTGGTCTCTGATATTAAGAGAGGCACATAGACTGAGGGTGTTTGAGAAGAATGTGACTGAAGAGAAATGAGGTGACAGGAGGTTGGATAAAACTGCATAATGAGGAGCTTCATAACTTGTACTATTCTCCAAGTATAATTAGAATGATCACGTCAAGGAGGATGTGATGGGCAGGACATGAAGGGCAGGAATGTCTATAGGATATTGGTGAGAAACCCAGATAGAAAGAGACCACTGGGAAGACCAAGGCATAGGTGGGTGGACAATATTAAAATGGATCTTAGAGAGATAGGATGGGATTGTATGGCTTGGATTGATCTGGCTCAGGATAGGGACCAGTGGGGGGCTCTTGTGAACGCAGTAATGAACCTTCGGGTTCCATAAAACGCTGGAAAATTCTTGAGTAGCTGCAGAATTGGCGGCTCCTCCAGAAGGGCTCAGCTCCATGAGTAAGTAAGTAAGTAAGTAAACAAGCTCACATAAGACTTTTAGGTAGTAGAATTAAAACAATACAACATTAAAGATGCCCACAAACAATACTGTGCATGGGAAAACTGAAACCTATTTCATGTCATTCTATGGACTATTAAAATTATCCATATTATTATAATTTTTTTTATTGCTAGTCAGGTGGGACTAAGTCCCTTGTACTGTGGCCACTTCTGGCCTATTGTACCAGCCACAGATGATAGGTGAGGGTAATTGTGGAGCAATTGGTGGAATGAAGATTGGGAGGGGAAACCGAAGTACTAGGAGAAAACCTGCCCCAGCGCCACTTTGTCCACCACAAATCCCACATGACCAGACCTGGGATCGAACCCGGGCCGCTATAGTGGGAAGCCAGCGACTAACCGCTTGAGCTATGGCACAGCTATATTATTATTATACTATGCACTTATTTACCATTTAATTATCAGAGGTCAAGGATGATGACAGGGATGAAGCATATAGCACACATGGGATAGTTGAGATGTGCGAACAACATTTTGTCAGGAAACCTGAAGGGAAGAAACAACCTGGAAGACTTACAAATAGACAGAAGGATAACATAATGCAAATCTTGCCCAAGAAATGTGGTGGAAGGGTGTGGACTGGATATATTTACCTCAGGATTGGCAGCAGTCAAAGGTACTTGTGAACATTGCAAAGAATCTTTGGGTTCCATAAAATGTAAGGAACTTCTTGACCACATAAGCTTAAATTACCAAAGTCTTTGTTATACTGAGTTAATTACTCATTTGTGGACATTTAATCATCAGAATAATGTGACACCTGGTTACATTCTTAAAACCTCAGTGTGCAAGTTATAGCTCATTTCAGAAATTACTGGAGGTTAATGAAACAAATCTACTGGGAACAAGAAAGGGCTTATCTTCTTTGCTATGAATAAATATTAAATAAAAAAAATAAAACATAACAGTGATGCTGATATTTTATTATTGTTTCATTTAACTATCTTTGTTACTGGCCTTAGCCCTGTTATCTGTTAATTACACAGCTGTACTGCAAGCACACCAAGATTGGTGGTCACTATTGTAAATCTAAGGGCTCCCTGTGTGTTAAGGCTGCATTATTACTTGTCCTGTATGTTATATACATGCTCCCTGAATTCCATTACAACCTGTCACTGAATTATTTGCTACTGTAAACCTTATCCAAGATGATAAGAATTAGTGCCAAAACAGGTAGTTGTGACCCACCACGCAACTCTTCTGGAACTCATTCTTGAAACTAATTATGACAGAACCTCTGAATATACTTTCTGCAAGGTTCATTTCCATGAAGTATTCAACTATGAAAACCTACTGCTGAATCATATAAATCACTGCAAGAGTAGCAGAACTGAGGCCTTATGGCAAAATAATCTGAGCATACAAAACCTTCAATCACAACTGACTGTCCTCAAGATTCATCACGATATTGGCAAAGTTATGCAGAGATCACAGTTGAAACATCTACTTATTCATAAAGTTGTTATATTTCCTTCTCATCAGACCTACCTGTACCACAACATGGACTATAAAGAATGTAACCCAGATTAAGTTCCTGCGGCTTGCTATAAATTTTCAGGGTATTACACCCAGCCCACATGTCACTGACAGCAAAGTATTATTCATACTCCACATATGAAATATATCGTTTCCATAAGGACTGTATTCAGTCCTATACTGTCAAAATATCAAATTGAATTACAACTTATCTCAATATGATGCTGAAGCATGATGTTCCCAAAACACGAAAGATTACTGCCTCAGTCAGAAGCACCATAACAACGTTTCTTTAATAATACAGCAAAACCACCATTTTAGGTTTATTTGGGCAGCAGTGAATATGAACACTAATATGAGGAAAATTTTAAATAAATCCTTAGATGTTCCCAATGAGCTAAATGTTGAAATATCTTTGACTGCACTTGAAAGTTAAACTTTAAAATTATTCTGGATAAATTCTGAAAACATTCATGCCAGTAAATGCTGGACTTGATGTTCTGATATAAGTAACTTAAGTTCTCAAAGATATAAATGGGGGGACAACTACTTGCAAATAGCCATTTCAGTAGTGGCCTGATCAGAATAAAAAATTAAATTTTAATCAGCATATTAAGCCTCCTCTGGAAGAGGAGACACAAAGGAACTTAAGAAAACAGACTGAACAAGTTTGTGTAATCAGAATGTTTCAAGTTATGTTTACTGGAAGGTGAAAAATTTCAATTCCCACCCTTAGTCATCAAACAAAACTGCAATGAAACTGACCTTTTAATATCTGACTATTTCTCAACCATGAACAATGGTTCACTGAATTTTTATTTGGTTCAGTTCATGAAGAATTACATATACTGACGCTACATATTAAATGTACTGAACTTGTTTAAACATTTAGTATTCAGTTTTCATGTTACTGGTTTAATTTTCCACATTTAGGGGCTTCTTCGATTAAAATTTAAATAACTGTGAATGTTATATTATTTTTGATGTGATGTTGTTGATGTTTGACATGTCCAATTGTAATTCTCTACAGCTATGGATGAAATAAATAATAAATAATAATAATAATAACCACTTCTCCCCATAGTATTCATATAATTATTGAGTAACTACAGATAACCAAACTATTATTAATTAAATCAGTACATACTTTGCCACTTCTCTTCCAGAAAGTATATTCCCAATTTCATTGGGTTCCCTAGATGAACTCATTGTGCAGAATTATTCTGTAAAGCAAAGAGAAAACTGCAGGACAATCTGTACTCTATCTATGAAAACTTCACACTAACTGACTCTAATGTTTAGGGTACACTCAGTTCTCTGCAGAGTGATTGGGTGGGGTGTTAAAGTGGGAGAGTGAAGGGGAAAAGAGCTTTACTAGGAAGCAAATATCTCTTCAAGGTTCAAAGTAACAAGCATGTTGACAACTATCTCTAAGTTGGACATAAACAAGAAAATATAATGCATTCTGACACTGATAGGTATTACAGTTGAAAAAAGAATTTTATTGCATCTCCAAAATAATGTTAGTTTCCTCTTTTTCTGATTTACCTTTAAATTGTGTAATACTTGTGAAATTCATTTCTATGTAATGTATTCAAACACTATTTATCAGTGCTTATTTAGACAAAGAAAGGTGCTGATACTCAGATGCGAAAAACAGAGAAACATGCCTTTTTATTTTCTTGTTTTATGAAAAAATATGTTATTGTAATATACCATTACATATTATCAGAATAAATCCTTGTACTTATTATAAGTATACAGCATTAAAACTTCTTGGGAAAAGTACAAATGTTTCAAATTACAAGGCTTCCATGCCACCATGTAATAGAAAAGAACCTCAACACCAATTTTTGACTTCCATTAATCTTATCTTCATAGCCCAAATGTTGACATGTTCACCACTTGTCACCTTGGCATAGGTCATGGAAATGCATTCTGGTGACTTCCTGGCTGAGAAGAATGGCAGACACAGTTCTTCAATTACCCAATTTTGCAATGCAGTATATAATTTTATAAGTTACATTATGGAACAACATAGAAGACCTATAATGTTAAAGGACTGAGAATATGAATAATAAACAGACTAAGATGGCTACTGGTAACAAATGAATGTACAAAAAATACGATCGACATGCTGAGTCTGGGTGAAACAAAATGGAAAAATAATGCTATAATATGTAAGATTTGAGGCTTTCACGGTGGTGACTATGAAGAAAGNGTGGGGAACAAAAGAAAGAAATAGGTAGCAATAATATTATTTGAAGAAAGTCGTCTTTGGGGTTTAGGCGCCGTGTATTCTTCATTTTGGCCGACGTTTCGGAAAGTGCAGTAGCTGTAGTAGCACTACAGCTACTGCTCTCTGCATTCCAAGCCATTCACTGCTCTGAAGATGGAGGCGATACGTTCCTCCAAAACGTCGGCCAAANAATGTTTTTAGTGATGGAGAACTGACAGCTTTATTCAGTTACAGGCACCCAAACTATGCTGTGATGAGGGAAAGTAACAAAAGTTTTAACAGAAACCTAGCAGAGGTGGTCAAGAGGGATAAAAGTGCACTTATATGGGATTTCAATAGTCAAGTATGAAATAACAGGACTGCATATGGTAATGGACCACTCTGGTGAGCATAGTAGAATTAATGAAGGAAGAGAACTATTAGACATGTGCATAACAGATTGATGGTTTAAAATTAATTGAATTACAAAATGACTACATACTTGTATATTTGAGACAGAAACTGAAGGAGCATAACTGATTACATAAATATGACAAAAGATTTAAAATTATTCATAAGTGGCATTCAGATGACACCTTGTGTTAATTCTGACAGTGACTTTTGGTAGAAAACTTTAAAAACACCAAAACAATCAAGACAGTGGCAAGGACAACATGAAAGACTAAGCCAAGTGGTTCCACAAACGTAGGCACAGTCTCAAAGAAGGTCTTGTACAAAAATCAGTTAGTCCAGTATGCCTATGACAAAGTCATATGGTAGGCTGGAATGAAGATTATGAAATTGAAAGTACCAGAAGGTACAGGAAATATAAGGAATCGACCCATATGGAATGTTTCACTAATCGAATCAGTCAGTCCAGTTTCGATATTTCTCCCATACGAATTCCCCTTATCGGAAATAAGGTTAGCAACTGACAGTGAAAGTCAGTATGATCTTACAAATTCTTCATGGGTCTCTATATGATTTTAGTTCTGGGGTTCAATTTTTCGTTCCACAGATGGTGCTAGAGGTCGGTATAATGTTCCAACATTAAAATCTTCAGATTATTCGTATGCATTCATGTTCATGGATTTGGTTTGTGGCATTTATTTTCTATTTCCTCTTCTTACTTAGTTATAGGTCTGTATGTGCATTATCACAACTGTATATTTTCCTGATATCTCCTATTGTCAACCCTGATTTCAGGTGTACAGTTGTAGGCTGACCAGTGATTGAGGTTAGCTCTTTCTAATGGACCCAGAAGAGTATGTTTCCTATCCCCTCACCTGAGGGTAGAAACAGATCCCGTTTCCAAAACACTGTGTTCTTTAGAATATCGTACAATGGACAATGCCCAAAAACTCAGTAATCCCAAGAAAGTAATCTGCATTGTTCAACATTACACTGGATGTGGCATATGGACCTGTTACTAGGTGCTGACTTTGTTAAATGCGTCTGTTGCTAAGTAATATCTGCAATGATAGAACGATATAATGCAACCCATTTCTACACAACAGATCAGTAAACATGCATCTAAACAATAGGGTTAATGTTGGAAAGTGTCTTCTACTTGGTCTGTAAAAAGTGGTTATAAGAAAGGCAATAGGGGCGATCCAATTAGTTGTGGGTTGGCAGTTCTGATGAGCTCTGCAAGGGGGCCTGAGATGATGGCATTATTACTTGAGACTTGAAAGTCCAGCTGTGAAGAAAATAGTTGCATGAGTGTGGCTGTGAAAAGAGGACTTTATGTACTGTAGTTGCAGTTAAGTAAAGTGAAGTGAAGTAAAGGTATCCCTGTAACAGGCCATGGAGGCCCATAGGGTTGAAGAGATGTTGAGATTCCCACATTTTCCTAGACAATCAGCTCATAGATGGCGGCAAGGTTGTCAGCCTTACGAGCCGGCCGCCATTTACCCCTAAGAATATTCCAAGAATATCCCTGGTACTCATTTCTGTTAGAGTCTGAGTCGATCCCAGGGTCATAGTGCAGATGGAACAATTAGGTCAATTGAAAAAAATCCAATGACCTCANAGCCGGCCGCCATTTACCCCTAAGAATATTCCAAAAATACTCCTGGTACTCATTTCTGTTAGAGGCTGTCAACCCCAGGGTCATAGTGCAGATGGAACAATTAGGTCAATTGAAAAAAATCCAATGACCTCATCGGGACTTGAACACGCGACCTTCCGGCTTGTAACATAGTGCCTCAATCAACTACGCTACCAGATACCACCATAGTTGCAGTGAGACTGATATAATTACTCCATTAAAATCCAATGCCATGATATGACTAGTGAAGACTGAGAAGTCTTAGTTTGCGCTTATGACTTATAAAGTGCTGAAATCAGTGACAGTTATTATACTATAACTACACAAGAATGACATGTCTTATATCATGTNTGACTTAAATCAGTGACAGTGTTCTAATTAATTATTTGTAAGTAATTCATATTCCTAGCTCCAATGGTCCACTAATTATTTGTCACACTGAAATCTATGGCTGCCATTTTGTTCTATGGCCTACAAAAACACACATTAATAAAATATGCATAGATTTTTAAATGTCTATTAGCATACATAATTTTAGGGCTCTAATTATATTAATGAGGAATAAGTGTTTATAATTATAATTAAAGAAGTATGAGTAATTAATCCATGTCACAATTCAGGTGCCTGTGATGTTATTACTAACTGCTGAAAATTAAAAATTTCAAAATTTGGATGACTTCAAACAGCATAACATTTTTACCAAAGCTAGCCAAAATTGATTGAATCAGAAAGTAAAAAGGGGACATAGGCAAAGCATGGAGATCTCACATGCTTATTTTCTTCATCAAGAAAGGAATGTGGGCTAAAAAGCGTTCATTTGTTTTTATTTTGGAGTGCTGTGGTTGAAAAGCTGGAGATTATATCTTTTAGAACTACCTATGACAGATTCATTGAGAAGAAAAGAAAATAGTTGTGTATTATTGCAAACCTTATAATAATTTTGTGAGACAAACTGCAATGACTGTTCCACAGTGGATGTGTGATATTACAACAGTGAACCTGGAATGAAAATCTAACTGCAGGGAAATCGCTATTTGACATATTCAAGTCATACTGTTCTGCCCCCGACTGCTGGACAGGTACAGATTATTGGTACAAAAGCGGTCTTCAACCGAGGTGGTGGTAAAATAGGTGTGGACAATTACACACGAAAAATCAAAATTGCTTCAAGTAATGGGTTGATTTCGTCACCTGACCCCGTTATTACTCAAACGAAATAAACTGGAGAATATTTTTCTTCATTTTCACAATTTAAGTCGTATTCAAGTTAGTTACGAATTGAATGTCGCGCGATCATCATAGGGAAATGGATTATGGACGCTGCTAAAAAATCTGCAGAATGTGTTTAAACTAGCCAGTATCTTACACTTAAATTTGTTTCAGGCCGCATCGGGAAAGAAAAATGTTCCATTCACAACGACAATAATTCCTCAGGATAACTTTTAAAACGACGAAAACGTAAACATGCTATCCCATTGGGAACTCATTTGTTATTGAAGAGTAAGTCGTATAATTGAAAGTCAAATAACATGAATTTTTCGCTATTATGAAAATCACATTCACAGAAATAAATAAAAATAACCTATACATATATATGCACAAATATATCGGCGAAGTGCGCAAAGTAACCAACAATCTACGAAAAATGCTTACCGCTGACGACACCTATCACTACCCTCTTGCCGGCTGTGACCGCTGTGACGGCTGTGACGGTTGGTTAAACTGTATCGAACTGTATGAACGGTATGAAGAACACGAAGAAGAAGCCTAGCTATGAATCTGGAACTTTTGGGTAATATGTTTTGTTTTATGCGATGTGCACTTACCTGGTAATGTTATGTATCTTTTATTTGGTTCTAAACTAATTCTGATTTTTCCCTTTTCAGAATCGTTTGGGCAAAACTATCCTGAGGTGTGTACAAAGATTTTCGTAATGTATTATTTTTTTGCATACACCTTCAGAATATAGTGACAAGTGCGCCTATGACATTCGTACTTTGAAACGTAACAGAAGTTAAAAGCGATTCATTGGTGAATAATAAATAATTAGTGAAATTCCACTTTATTGTAACCATAAGACACGCAGTTTTAAAAACTTAGCTATCATATTTCAGAGCGAGAATGTCATGCGTGCAGTTGTCACGGGTTCGATCCCGGGTCTGGTCAAGTGGGATTTGTGGTGGACCAAGTGGCGCTGGGGTGGGTTTTCTCCGGGTACTTCGGTTTCCCCTGCCAATCTTCATTCCACCAAATTCTCCATCGTCATAATCAACCGGGGCAGGTACAATAGGCCAATCAGTGGCCGCCGTGCCGAGTGGAC